TTATACTCTTTATAACGATCTTACGATAAACGAAAAACTATATAGAATCTTTCTGTCTTCCTCCATTCCAATTATTATTAGCTCTATAAACTAAAGGAGACCGAGGAAGTCATTATAAATTCAACATATACTTACAATATTTATACGCTATAATTAACTATAATTATTATCTATAACTATGCCTGGACTCATTATAGGATCCCATGGCCCTTTTCCCTAAATGTTATTCTGTGCTTCATCTCTCGTGAAAATTATTAAGGTATAAAATAAAAGCCCGAATAGTAACATTTTTAATGAAGTTTGTCGCTTCGAGTTAGACTTTCGTATATTTATTTGTACACACGTGAACACGACAGAAGAAAAATTTTCTCATTCCGTTGCCGTTAACACTAAAATTTTTTAAGTTATAAACCACACCATAAACTCACAATCGAATATTGATGAATTAGAACACATTCACTTGTATTTTATTCTCACATATTTACAAAATCGTACATCTTTCCAACGTATATAATAATCGTACTTTTATTTTCTTCCCGAATGACGTGAAAATTAATACTTTATTAACTTTAGAATCCGACCTCGCGCTGTGGCAATTAATGTCGGGAAAAACGAATAAACGAATGGTCATTATTGTCATCGTAAGAACCAGTCATCACAGTTCTACTTTATCGATAATAATAAATCATTTTGCGTTTTTTTTCTAAACTTTTGTTCATTTTGTAAATTTATTCAACGGGTCTAATTAAAAAAAAATGAAAAGAATTTTCCTCGCAAACCGATGATCATCGAGAATTTGATAAAGCTGCATTTACCTGTCATTTATACGTTTTAATAACCATTCCATATTTCACGCCAATAAAACACTTATGTTGTTTTTTTTTTTTTTTTTTTTTTTTTTTTTTCACCAACCACACGTCTCGTATTGCTTACTTAACTCGCCTCGATACAAATTTTGTTCACTCAACGACGTGCTGTTTCATTAATTGTTTAAGTCCGTGTGTATGATGTGCCCGTGTGTAGCGCGCGTACACGTGTTTGAATGCTTAAATGTATTCCTTACATGTAATTGCAAATATTTTGTTTATGTTTCTTCATGTATGTATGTATATTTGCGCGCATTTTGTGTTTATTAGAGATGCACCTATATATAGTATATTGTAACTATACAATGACGACGACCTTTGGACCCGTAATCAGAAAAGTAAAAAAAATACAATCTTTCGTTTCTCCACGCAAAAGTATAGTCATCCAATTATTTTTCTGTATATATTCTAATTACTTAACGAATTGGAACTAAATAATATTGTAGTCATTGAATGCATTGACAAAGTATTAAAAATGAAAGGGCATTCCATTACTTTCGTTTTTTTTTTGTTTTTGTTTGTTTTTTTTTTCAATAGAAAAACTTTGCATTGCAATTTGATTTGTATCTCGCTGATTGCAGCTGATTACTTGTAAATGATTTTTACGTTGGATCACTTAAATATATGTCAATATTGATTTATGTATATAATTGTCAGATTAATTTTTATATCAAAAAGGAGAACGAATTATTAAAATATAAGCTACATCATCCAAATTAGCATTTGCTTAAATAGTATTAATATATATATATATATATATATATATATATATATATATATTGGATAAATGAATGTATATTATATCGTCAATAAGGTAATTGTTAATGTAAGACTAATTTTCATAATTTTGAATATATACGTATACGTAAAGATGTTCGTCAAGTTATTATCTTTAAAAATTTTCTTTCATTTTGGCTGTATTTTGTTGTGCAGAAATTATTTCGAAAACCCGTTGTGAATCGTAGAATGCTACCAGTACAAATACACGTCTATCGATAAAAATTCAAAAAAGTAGTACAATTATTAATTACCGTGTATATTTCTTTTGAATGTAGGTAGGCATTTTTGTGTATTTGATATGGCGAAGGGTGTCGTAATATGTGTATATCATGTGATTATGTATGGCTTATGTTTGGTTATCGTATTAAAAAAAAAAAAAAGAAAAGAAAAGTCTACTTAAGAAAAATTATATTATAAGTAAGAATCAGTTGAAATTATTATCTATGACTAGGCTCGTCTTTGGAATAGTTTCAACCTCCTTAAATATTTTATCTTAATATTGGTATTTATACATATTTTAATAGCTATCATAGGCTGCAAATACACTTTGTTACTTCTCTAAATTTTAACACATTTTTTATTTTTCATTGCATTTTTCATTTATTTCCTTTAAATTCGCTCATGTTCATTTTATTTTTGGACCACGTAATTAAAGTGTGCATACTTAATGGCGCTGAGTATAATTTATTATTCATTTGTTTGATATTGATGAAATATGCCTCGCGAAACGTATATTTTACGAATAGACAAGGAATTAAATACTTTTTGGATGGATTTCATTAGGTATTTCATAAGTACATTGTCAAAGTATATTATACGTATATTATAATAATGCAAAATATTGTAAAATTCAAAATAATACGAATTAATCACAGGGCGTATTTCTTATTAGCTTAAATATTGAAGAAGTTTATGTTTTATATTTGCAATATCTTATATATAGGGATATTTAGACAGTAGAATTTCAATTTCACGTATTTTATTTCGTTATTATATTATATAGAAGATTAATAATTCGATTAATTATAGATTTATCAAGATGCTGCGTCGGTGTAATTATGTTCAAAAAAGTGTATCAGCCTTTATTATTTTATATTAATTTATAGTGTATCAATGATTGGACCATCCGAACACGTTTAGAAGAACATGATGTTAAGAGTTTAAGAGAACAATGCGATGATAAATGACGCAATTGATGAACGTATATCATTAACGAATGACAACATCAAATTTGTCTACTGCCGTTGTGAGGAAATCGATTATACGAAAGAAATTCATTATACGTGTGTGAGGCTCGCAATTTGATCAAGAGACTATCCTCTGAAGGTATTCTAGCTCTTCTAAAAGCACAAAATATATTACAAAATAAAAATTATGACAATAATAAAAGCTTGCTTTTTTTGTTGTTGTTGTTGTTGTTGTTGTTTGCTTTTTGTTTTGTTTTTAATTAGCTCTGTGGTCGTCAGGTACATATTTGCTTTTCTACAATTCACAACTACCAATGACTCTATCCTCAAATAATATCTACCTAATGGTTATTCTCTAATTTATTTAATAGGGGATTAGCTGAGTCTTAACTATAGCAAATTAGTTATTTGTATTACTTTGGCTCGTAGTTAATACGCCTTCCGACTACTTACAAATTGCATCATCTCTTCATGTTTTTCATCCTCTCTCCATCAATATTATAAACTTCACCTTCCTTGATCTTTAATTTAAAATATTTCAGCAATAATATGAGATTCGAAGTCATTAGTTGATAATTGTTATTATTTTAATTTTTTTTTTCTTTTTTAACTGTTTCAATAGTTCAGTACTCTTCTCATTATAAAATATAATTAATAATATTAAACTACTAAATACATCGTCTAATACACAAATTTATACAGCGACTAACCTTCATTATTAAAACATTCTAATAGTATATCTTCTTCTTCTTTTAATTTTAGCTAATAAGTGTAAGTAATACTTGATGATTTGTATGGCTTAAGTAAAGATAAACGAATATCGTTGAAGGATTTCATACTTTTTCCTATAAAATTAAATTTCTCATTATGATCTTAGAATTTATAATTGAATTTATAAACAATTTCACATATTTAACGCTTAGATAACAATATTATTTATTCTATTTTGTTTGTTTTTAATAAATTTTTTTTTTTTTTTTTTTTTTTTTTTTACAAGAAATTATATATTTTCATGTGTATAAAATACATGCATTGTATTCTACTAAATTTTGTCAATTGTTTATATTAATTTAAATATTACACGTAAAGTTCGATCTCCAAATCTCTGCATTGAGCTTTCAATATCAATTGCTTAAATGTTTCTATGTTAATAATAATAATAATAATAATAATAATAATAATAATAATAATAACAATAAATAAATAAATAAATAAATAAATAAATAAATGCTTAAATGTACGTTTACAATTTTTCTATGAACACTGTCAATTCGAGCTTCAATTGCATTTGATTTTTGTTATTAATTTATTTGATTCTATATCTGTCGAACGCTAAGATAATGCAGAAATTATGAATTAAATTTGAAGAATACAAATCAACGTGCGTTTGAAAAGAGATAGATAAATAATATTGTTTATATAATGGGAACTTACTCACTTGAGGTTATAATAATGTCCAAATCATTATTTCTTTTATTTTTTCTCTTTTTCTTTTATGTTGATTACATTAATCAATTCATCCTCGTATTTAATTTTATAAACGATAACTGCAATGATACCACTGATTTTTACAATATAATTCTATCATCAACAATCCATTGAAACGAACTGTCTGATTATTGAATTACAAAACTATTTTTTTGACAGTTTTTAAAGATTTTATTATTTATTTTTTGTTAATGCTGATACTTGTGTAACGTTCATTACATTTATTATATATGTCTTCTGCATTACTCTTCTAAGATTTTTCTTCTTCTATACTTTGAACATTCAATGATAATAAAACTAAATATTGAACTGTACACATTTTTTTTACCTTGACTTCAAATCTTTGTTTACTGTAAATAGAAAGTTTCTTTTATTTAGTCTTCCAGTCGATAATAATTCTCTAAAATTTGTAACATTCCTCGCTCTTGTAAACGACGTAGGGATCATCACTGTGAGACTTTACTTTTTAAACTTAATCGTCTTCATTTCTCTAATCTCACCTCGTGTTATTAACTCCCTTTCAATAATCTCATATTCCTTCGGTTTATATGTCTTTCATAGTGTTTTCTTGATTGCAAGAATGGCGCAATACTCCTCGATTTATTTCAAGCTTCTGCCAATACTTATATATGATTATATATTATGCTTATATATATATATATATATATATATACAAGCAATAAATAATAAAAAGGGAAAAGACACGAGCGTATGAAAACTGAGATAACTAAGCAGTAGAAAAATGTTTGTCGCTGCTTTCTTTCTTCCATTACCATTTATTTCACGGATTATGATTATGTCATCTAGCCTTGTTGCCCAACCATTTACGTATTTCTCAACGTTCTACAATAATTTCTTATTGCATAATCCACACATCACTGTATTCATTTTCTTCCCAATCTATCTAAACAAAGTGGTCCATACTCTTCGCCGAATAAAAATTATATGTATCATAAGCTTCTCAATCGAAGAACTAATTCGTTATATTCGACAATTATATATTATTTAAATCTAATCTTAGGTAGTCTTGTTTTATATTTGACTTTTGAGCTCAGCTCCTGTCTATATTTGGCCACGTCCAATGCTCTCGAATTTTCAAAAATGTAAATTGTAATAAGAAGATAAGGGATAAATCATCTCCAACGAGAGACGAGCTTAGAAGAAGCTTTTTAAGAAACCAGCTGGGCCTGCCTGTTAATTAACGAAAAAAAAAACAAAAAACAAAAAACAAAAAACAAATAAATAAACAATTGTTATTACATTGAATATTTGAGTATTTAATATTGAAAAATTATTTGGTAGTTATTTAAGGATACCTCTTGTTGCTGTGCTGCTGTAGCTTTTATTTTTGCTTGTGCGGCTTTTAGTGCTCTAAAAAAAACAAAAAAACAAATGCATCAAAATTAATTTGTGTGTAAATCAGTGAGTTGATTATTTGAAAATTTGTGCAGTGTAGCCTTTGTATGCGAATTTTAAATTAATTAAACTTTCACTTTGATATTTTAATGTGCAAAAATGTTGGACCAATGTTTGTAGCCACGTTATTCCAAGTTATTCAAAATATCAATATCAATGCAAATAGCTTAACAATTATAGAGAAATTAGTCATTGTTTTTCAATCTTTCTTTCTTTCTTTCTTTCTCTTTGCTTTTTATCTCTAGTCGATAATATGTCAAAGGCCGGTTATTGCACAACTGTTAAAATACTAACTCTTGGAGATCTCGTATTTGCTTTTCTTTCGAATTTTGCTCTTCCTGTGACATTTGTACCAGCTGCAATAATCTCTCCGTCTCCTGAGTGCTTCGTTTAGCCTCTTCCTTTGCCTTCTCGAGTTCTTTCTCAGCGGCATCGAGCGTCCTTTGCAATTCAATGACTCTTTTGTCGGGCGAAGATCCGCTCTGCAATTAATACACACATACAGACAAGCGCGCACGAGCACACCAAACACACATTTGCTTATAAATATTTGCTTATAATTATCCGGTAATATGACATTAGGACAGTTTAATAGCAAGAGTACCGATGACTCGTAATTATAAATTTGAAGCTTTATATCTTAAATATTTACAACTTAAATGTCACTCCGATAATCATGAACGTATCTTTGAAATTTTCGTACGATTAGCGAGATAATAATAATCATACGATCATTTCACGAAAGACTTTCTTTAAAGCCGGCAGTTTCAGTCGAACAAACAAACAGCGATTATTTTGTTTAAAAAAAAAGTGCACAAACGTTGATTAGAGTCGTGGAGACGCGAATCGAGTACCTTCTGTAATTGCTGTTCGTAGTGGTCCAATTTTGCCTTCTGCTTTCTAAGCTCCTGATCCATATTTTGCAGAGATCTCTCCTTCGCCTCGATATGCTTTGCCTTTTCATCGATCTGCTGTTTATGCTGTTCTAACTGCCGTCTTTGCTCGTCCAATTGCTTGTTACGCTCTTGACCAGCGTCCGCACCACCTTTGCCGGTACCAGACTGTAACTTGTTGTTCGCCTCGTGAAGCGCCACCTTCGCACAATTCATATACAATCAAACGGTGAAATAGTCAATGTGGAAATATTGGATAGATGAACCGTGATATTATAATGTTAAGCATAATCCACCTTCGTCGCAAAAGGCTCCCACGAACCTGATTCTGTTGGAGTTCCTGGCAGAGCATCTCGATCTGGGCTTGGAATCGTTCCCGCTCGACGAGGGCTTGTTTCACCTCCTCCCTCGACTTCTCGAGTTCCTTTCGTAATCTTGCCGCCTCGGCAGCGTTCTGTCCCTGCTGCAGCTGCTGCTGTCCTTGCTGTTGCTGTTGCTGTTGCTGTTGCTGTTGCTGTTGTTGCTGCTGCTGTTGCATCTGTTGAATCTGCTGCTGATAGGCGTGTAGCTGTCGCTCGGCCGCCTGTATGCGCTTCTCAGCCGTATCGGCCCGTTGCTTCTCCATCTCCATCTGCTTGTGCCATTGCTCAAGCTGGGGCTGCTGTTGCTGCTGCTGCTGCTGCTGCTGCTGCTGCTGCTGTTGATGCTGTTGCGCCGAAAGCTCCTGCAGACGTTTCTCCGCCAGCTCGGAACGTTGCCGCTCTTTCGTGAGATTCTGCGTGAGCGCCTGAATTTGTTGGGTGAGCCGATGCACTTCCGCTACAGATTCCGGGGCTTGTTGGGCGCGCTGCTGCTGCTGCTGCTGCTGCTGCTGAATCTGCTGCATACGTCGGAGTTCCTCACGCTGCTTCTCGCTCTCGTTCTCGCTCGCGTTCAGCTCCTGCTGGAAGTTCATCAGCATATCCTGAGACTTTTCCAATTGAATGACCAGCTGGTCGCGCTCGACTTGCAGCTGCTTCGCCTCGGCCTCCAGCTTTTCCCTCGCCTTCTCGATCTTGTCCGCGTGCTTCTCGCGATTTTCGAGGATCGCTGCCAACTTGTCGCGATCTCGCTGCGCGATCTGAAACTCATGCTGAAGTCGCACGATCTCCTCGCTGCCCTGCATCTGCTGGTGCTGCTGAGCGCGACGCAACTCCTTTCTAACAGCGTCCCGCTCCTCACGTAGAAGCGACGCTTCAGTGAGTAATCGCTCGTGCTCCTTTTTATTCGCCTCCATTACCTCGGCGTTCTTGCTCATCAGGAGCTGACTCTTTTCGAGCTCCTTGGCCAATCTGCCAGCCTCGAGCTCCACCTGGTCTCGCGCCGTGATGGCCTTATCCAAACTCGCTCGTAATCTTTCCACTTCGATGCTGGCGCTTTCCGATCTATCGATTACTTAGCGCATTAGGCAAGCGTAGCGATTATACGTAGAAGTGAGAAAGTAAATTTTCCGAGGGACGGGCCGATTTTAACAATACCGTTATTCGCATTTTCTCATGCATTAATCGATTACTTATCAAACGTCCGGGTGAGTCATAATTGTTGTTAAAATTAAAGTATTTAAGAAATTAAATTTAAGAAATATTAACGACTTTTACCATTTCACCCCAGTTTTGTCAAGGAAAATGGTCGGCAAAAAAATTAATTGACAACTCCATTAAATCCATTATTTATATCTAAATGTTCATTTTCATTTATACTCAGGATTAATCACCATCACTTACACGATGCCCGAATAAATGGCTTTTAAATCGATTAGGGAGAATCTTTCACGGTGGACTCAATTAATTTTTGTAAGCGAATAAACTGTTAAGAAAAAGAAACTAAATGCTAAGTCCAACGATTAATAAAATTAAATTTCATTAGCGAGTTAGAACAGAAGGCTCAGCAGCTTGGAAAATGTAAGCTGTAAGTGTAAGGTGCACCGACGCAAATGCAAAGAGTCGAAGAAATGACAAAGCAGCTGACCTGGTCTTGCCCTCCGTCTGCATGAGTCGCTCGAGCCTGATGATCTCGACGCGCAGCTTTTCGTTGTCGGCCTCGAGCGCGTCCGCCTTGGCCTTGAGCTTCTCGTAGCGATCCTTCATCTTCTCGGCCTCGATGCGCAGTCTGTCCTGCTCGACCCGCGCGCGTTCTTGGATCGCTTGCACTTTACCGGCATCCTCGCGCATCCGCTCATACTGGACCTGCATCTCGTGGTGGCGTTGCTCGAGCTCCTGGACTTGCGCCTGGCTGCGTTTCAGCTCCAACTCCCGGTTATCGAGGCGCTCGCGCGTCCTCTCAAGTTCCTGCTCCAGCTGGTACTTGCCCCGTGCGCCCTCGGACCGCGACTCGAAGTCTCGCTCGGTGCGCCTTGCTCTCTCCAGCTCCGACTGCGTCTTCTCCAGACGGTCCCGCAGACGCTCGCAGTCCAGCTTCAGACGCTCGTGCTCCTCCTTCTGACGCTCCTTAACACGAATCACGCGTTTTATTGCATTGTCCTGTGCTCGCGTTGAAAACTAATAGCACCACTAATTTAATATTAAAGCTTCGTTTTCACAGGATAATGATTCCACGACCCCTCGGTGAGGTAAGAAAAGAAAAAAAAAAAAAAAAAAAAAAAAAAAAAAAAAAAAAAAAAAAAAAAAAAAAAAAAAAAAAAAAACGTGGCGCCAACGATTGGCATTTGAAAGTTATACGCCCAAGCGATAATCCTCCCTACAATGCATATTTACGTGCATCCTGCTGGCTTATCGGTAAATCTTTCCAAGAGAGAAACTTACAGCATAGGGCTTTATAGTGTGTTATACGGAGCGATTTTAACATAAAGCGGCAAATAAAGAAACGTAATCGTCAAATTAATTAAACCCTTCGAAGATCAAGTATATACGAATTTTATTGGTTTTAATAGTTTATTGTTACGAGCGCAATACGAGCTCCTTAAATATATTTCGAGTTAAATATTTTACGCTTCACTCCATGCTGAATAAGAAAGTGGTAATAATCGTGCCGAGCTCCGCTCCGATCGTCCGCCTCTATTTATTTTATTTTATTATTTTACCGCTTCCCATTCCTTACCGCCCGACCCCTTCCCGCTCCCCCCTGTTTCGTCACTTTACAAATTTTTAACAATCATTTTCAATTGCAAACACGATATATGTAGTCATTTGTAGCACGAATCGTGTAATATTTTTAATCTTTACGTCGTTCCGACGGGTCTCTACCCACTGTAGAGACAATTTTTCTCCTCGCTATCCCTCAAAGCCGACAAATATGTTAAAAATTGTGCGTACATACATACATACTACAACTAAGACGATCGCAGCCTTAACTCTTTGTAAATCGAAATTATAATCGAAAATCAAGGCTTTCCCGTCACAGCCTCTTCCGTCAACCCTCCCACGATACTGGCTACTCCCGATCATCTCACCTGGCTCTCCTGGTACTTGCCGAACCTCGTTACGTATCTCTCTCCCTCCTCGCGCGCGTTCTCCGCGTCCTGGCGCAGCCTCTCTGCCTCTGTCTGAGCCTTGCGCATCTCGGCCTGCTGCCTGTCGTGCTTCTCGTACATCTTCTCGAGCTCGAGCTGCATGCGGCCCAGCTCCTCCTGGCTCTTGTCCGTCGCTGCCTGGGCCTTGTTAAGCTGCGACTGGGCCCGCTCGAGCTCGAAACTCAGCCGCTCGTTATCCCCGAGTAGCTTCTCACGCTCGCTCTGCAGCCGGCGCATCTCGATCTGGTTCTTGTCGAAGCGCTCGCGCGCCATGTCCAGGTCGACGGTCAGCCTGTCGAGCTCGTCCTTCGACTTCTCCTCGTGCTCCTTCGTACGGCTCAGCTGAAGGGCTATCCGCTCGTACATCTCCTGTATGCGCGACAGCTCCTCCTGGGACTTGCGCGCCTCCTCTCGGCTCTTTGTGCCCAGCATCTGTTGCTTCTCGGCCTCGAGCTCGAAACGGTCCTTGTCGGCCTCCAGCACCTCGATCTTATTCTGCAGCCGGTACACCTCGCTTTGGACTCTGAATGCATAAAATCCGGTTGAGCATTAAAGGATTTTAAACCAGGGCAAGGGAGCTTTTACGAGGAGCCACCCATCGTTCGTGCCCAACTTTCTCTACTAACTTTCGCTCACTTTCTACAAGCTAGCTGTTAATAATTACTGGTACTCGCCTGTCATATTTCTCCAGCATCTTGTCCATCTCCTTGGTCGCGCATTCTTTATCTTCTTGCGTCTTGTTCAACGTGTACTGCGCCTTGTCTAATTTCTCTTTGAGAATGTCCACTTCCGTTAGTGCATCGTCCCTCTCGAGCTGTTTGCGTTCCCATTTTTTTTTTTTTTCGTTTGTTTTCGTTTTGCAACAAAATTAGCACACGTATTAGTCTACACACGCACGCGCACGTACTGCCCTCATATATACCGCAGTCGTTAAAAAGAAAAAGTCGCGTGATCTTATTCACTATATCGATACTTACGCTTAATTTTTGCTGAGCATTGTGAGCTTTCTCCCAGCGATCTTTAATCATTTCTAACTCTGAAAGTACATTCTCCTTCTCCCTTTGGAACTTTGCTATTTGGTTCTGTTGGAATTCCGATCTTTCTTGCAGTTTTTCCATCTCTTCGTGGAAACTGTCTCGTTCCTTTTGTAGCCGTTGCATGATGGTCTACGCAAAAAAGTACATAATTCACATAAGAATAAAATAATGGCGGCGAATTGAGGCGAGAATGTGAATTGTGAATAAAATAAAGATAAAATGGAATATTTCTCTGGGCCCTTACGCGGTCACATGCATTTAGGCTTTAGTCATTTATGTGGTAGGCATCACTGTCATTAGTCACAACATTAGTTAAATAATAAAATGTTTGCTGTAAATATAATTAGGTTGTCGTTTAATATTGACTGTAAATGTTCTTTATGATGTATCGTATCATATCCATTGATAATTATAAAATTGATATATCAATGGATCAAGCCATTTCGTATAATAAAATTAAAGTGACCTGTAAATATAAAAATAAACGTAAAATATAATAGTAAATGTTAAAAGAATAAGCGATTAAAACTTTTGCGTGTTTATTTTACATTTGTCATGAAACTGATGTAAAGAAATTTTTTATTTTTATCCAGTTAATTTATTTTTTAATATTATTCAACAAAAATTTTATACCTAACACCAAGTTGAATCAATTTTTCAATTAAATGAAAGACTTTCGTTAAAGCTATAATTTTCATATTTTTATGAAACAAATGTAATCAATACGAAAAATACATAATAAACTTTCATGTTGTAAAAATTCTTTTCTGGCTGGCATCTCTAATACTATGCGTAACGATAATCATTGCATTCTATAATCTATTTTAGAAGAATTTAATTTAGAAAAATGTAAAAATAAACGAAATACCAGCATTTAAAACTAATTCTTATTACATAATTCATAGGAAAGATGATAAACTGTTGATAAATATATATATAGATTTTTTTGAAACAAAAAATTAAAAAATCTTTCCGAATATGATTTTGTCGGTACTTTCAACAATTTCACTTTACTTTCATTCTTATCGCGATAATTTTATAAACTACTATTATTAAACGATGCTAAATGCTAAAAAAAATGATTCCTCTTATATGCTGGCATTTGGAAAAGTGAAATGGTCGTCAAAGCAAAAGATCCTTAATGAGAAATTAAATTCATACTTGAGCTTTTTCATATTTGTCCTCGAGACGATCAATGTCCAATTGAACGGTCTCTCGTTCTTTCTGCATCCTTGTGATTTGCCCATGCGACTTGTCCAACTGGCTCTGCAGATTCTCAAAGTCATAATTTTGCTTTTCCTTTTCCATTTGCATCTGTAAAAACCATAAATATTGCAGAATATTTACAAATAATTTATTTTCAAATATCTATTTCTTTTGAATGCAAAATTTGAATAATTCATTACGTCTAAATAGTCAAATCAAAGAAAGTAAAGTAAATTTTCTCTTTTCGTTTGTATTATGAATTGATAAGCAAGAAAAATTAGCAAATTGGTTTATCAACAATGCATAATTCATTTATTTTACCGTAACATTTCCAAGCTCGTCATATCATATTGTATAATACGAACTACGAAAGCTCATACTTAGTCCTGTAATATAGACAGTGTTTTATTGCCAAACCAATTACAGGTAATAATGAGCTTTAATAGCTTTAATAGCAATATTATAGCACAGATTTATGGTAATATGCTTAATGCTATAGCGAGAGTATTACCGAATTTCACTCGATTTTCGTCTTAATTACTCAATGACAATTACGTAAATTACTTATCTGCTACCTTTATGCGAACTGACTTATAACACGGCTGAATAATGAAAAAGTTTTAATAATCATTATGAAGAAAGCAGAAAAGTTTGCATTTTTCTTTTGCTTTTTGTTTTGTTTTTTTGTTTTTTTTTGTTTTAAATTACGACTCATTGCAGTATCCGCAGGGCTAAGAATGGAACTTGTTTTCTAAAATTGATCCCATAATAAAGACTGATTTTGAAAGATACTAAATTGTAAAATTCTGATATATTGGAAATACTGTAATAAATTGGCTTGAAAGATAAATTGAACAATGTCATCATTTTTCATAATTTTAAATTTGGGCACAAGATAAATACATGCAAATATATCATCACAACACCACCATTCATTACATATATATATATATATATATATATATATATATATATATATATATATATATATATATATATATTGAACGTCTAGAGATTCGTCTATTTATTTAAATCGTTCTATTAGCTTTATTGTTGATAAATGTTCGCGTACTTAATTATGTAATAGCAACGATTTTCCTAAAGTTTCCCACCGAGCTTTTTAACAATGCTAACTAATGTATCTTTAGCTTCTGAAATCTCGAAGATCCATATCCTGATCCATATTGTCATGAAAAAGGCGCGCGGCGGTACATTATATTAACAGTATAAATGATACTAACCCGCCTCGTCTCGACCTGTGACTTGTCGAGTCGCTCTTGCAGCTTGTCGAGCTCCGTCTGCGTCTTGTCTAGCATGTTCTGGAGCTTGTCCTGCTGGAGCTGAGCTTTGCCGAGGGTCGCCTGGGTCCGCTCGAGCTCCTCCTGGCACTTTTCCAACTCCCCGACGGCCTTGTCTCTCTCAGAGTGCAGCCGCGCCACTGCGGCCTGGGCCCGGTCGTACTCCTCGCGGAGGCTCTCTTGCTCGCTCTGGGCGTTCTCTAGTCGTACCTTCAGCCGGTACACCTCGCCCTGGCTCTTCTCAACCTACCGGACGTGCGAGTACACGCCACGTGAGTTATTATGGCGAGAGGAACGACGACGGACTTAGCTCACAAATCGAAAATACGTGCAAGTTTTTGCTTTTATAAAAGAATGCGACGGGCCAGATCACTTTTAGCAAGTCTATTCAATTCTGGCATTGAATCAATTTTATGGGCTTTAAAAGTTGCTCGATAGACGTACAGCACTCGATCTCTACAACTGCTACAGCTTTTCTGGCTTACTATTTCTGACACGGCAAGATCAAGAGAGAGAGAGAGAGAGAGAGAGAGAGAGAGAGAGACAAATATCATACAACGTGATTACAATGCTTAAAGACGAATGTGGCAGTGGCACGATTCTTTTGTCATGTTCGGGTGTCCGAAGTGGACCTGCCAAGCTTATTCGTTTCCTACAAATTTTTCGCATTTATGGGAGCTGGGATTGTAGACAGGCCGGAAAGATATAATAAATCACTAGTTTCAAATGGTTTGTGAACTATAACAGATAAATTCGCTACTCTACAACGAAGAAGTGACAGATATAAGAATACTTTTTTAGGCATTAAATAACCGTAGAATTGAATTTCCACATAAAGATTTTATAATAATAAATTCAGAAATTGTTTAATCTATATTTATCAAAGATATCATAAGATTATTACATAAAGCCAAGTATAAAGATATATACACATTATACAAAATTTTGAACAATTTCATATATATATATATACATATATATATATAAATATTATTAAAGAAAACAATACTTAGGCTTTAGAAAGTCTTGGATAATCAATTTTATGCTGTATACCATTTGATATCGAATAACAAACAAAAGATTTTATATTTTATATTATATATCTAGTGGGATTGAATGCTTCGACAAGCAAAATTGCTATGGTTTGGTAATAAATATTCGACAATAAATATTTGCAATTATTTGATTTATCTTACTTATATTCGAATACGTTAAAGTAGAATATTACAAGGCTTGGAATAAATAAAAATAATGAAATTATATTTAGAAAACAGTACGAATGTCTTAAATAACATTTTTGTATAAGAAATTGCAACGAGCAGATGTTACAGGACGAGGCAGTCGCTTAGTGCTAAAGTTAAAGATATGTGATAATTGATGGATCCTGGTTCTTGAAACAAAAATCGCTATTAGTTTTTATAAATGTATACGAAATAATGAAATAGTAGATATAATTAGGTCGATGGCGGTGTCAATGGAAGGTAAAAATTTCCTACAATACAGTATAAAATATTTCTATTACTATAATGCGAAGAGTAGTTTTTTTTTTTAATGAAAATTGAATCTGTAATTCAATTAATAAAGATGAACTCAGGATGATTTTTATTAATTGGCAATTGAGCGATAATAGACGGTCGATCAATGTTGATAAAAAATGCGATTTATCATCTTGGAGATTGCGCAAATATACGTATTAACGAGTCTATTTTAACGAATTTGCCAGAAATATACAATAGAGACAGGCCTAAAGAGCAAATACATTAGAAATGAATCCTGATGTGATCAAAAGTTGGAAGCGGCAATTAATCAAATGGATGGAATGTAATTTTACATGATAGAAAGCGTGCCTCTGAAAATTGCAGAATCCCATTTTCATATACCTTTTTTCTCATTTCCTATTCTTAAAAGAAAACGACTGACGTTTTATCGATCCTTATACTAATATCCCAGGCTATTAAGTTGTCTTATTAACAGTTTTCATTAAATTTCCGTATCTTTCTTGTTAAAAAGAAAAAAAAAGAACTTTAAAATCATGTTGGCAAATTAATGATATCCAGGGAAGTTGTTGCGATTAATTTTTAATAATTAGATTTAAAATAATATTCGGCATTTCATTTACTGCCATATAGATAATGACTAACTGTTTATTCATATTTTATAGTATTTGCTCGATCTAATAGAAAATATCAATTGCCATTACTATACATTAAATATAATATTGTTTTACGCCTCTCTCTCTCTCTTTTTTTTTAGCGTTAACAATGCTTACGTGGTTTCTTTTTCGAGTAAATTTCATGTCGTTAAACATTAAAGGAGAAAATTGCCCTCGTATTACGCGTGTGATATTTTTATATTTTAGCGGCTAATCTACTATCAAACACTTTTATTTATTTTACGTGCAGTATTAATCTCATTTTAATTTTCTTATTGCAAGCAAATGACTTTATTCAAGTAAATATTTTCGTTAACCACTATAGCTATACGGGAGTACTCGCCTTTAAGAAATTCAAAAAGATTGCTCTTAAAGTGATAGCACTTCTTCCTTATCTAAAATATTCAACTTAAAAAGGTAACGCGCTTTATACAATAAATAAATTAGAATTGGTCTTTAATGGTTTCGCATAAAGTAATACAAGTTTATGTAAAATAAAAACTTTTACAATCCAGGACGTCATTGAATTTAATTAATGAACTGCGTAGTAAGACTGCTGAATAGAAATCTTGTGAGTTGAGCCACGAGATATTTGCCAAATTTCAAAATTCTCCAAGTATGCAATGGTAAAACCGTATAGAAGTCTAAATATTTCCTTTTCCTCTTTAACAACAACAATAATAACAACAACAACAACAACAACAACAACAACAACAATAAAAACAAAAATAATAACAAAAATAATAACAATAAAAACAAAAACAATAACAATAATAAGAAAAACAACAACGACAACTATAACAGCATGAGGAATAACAATGCTAATACATAGTTATACTACTACTACTAATAATAATAATAATAATAATAATAACGGCGGTAATAAGGATAAGCGGCGACTAATGCTGATAGTTCGCAAGGCCGCGAGGCCATTAATAACAGTGGTAATAATGAATTAATGTAATACCTTTTCCTGGAGGGCGGTGACCTCGGTCCTCGCGCGCTCGTTGTCAGCCTGGGTAACCCTGAGCTCGGCCTGGGCTCTCCTCAGCTCCGAGTTTGACTTCTCCGCGCGCTCATGGATTCTGTCCATCTCCTGGGTGGAGTTCAAGGATGTCCGCCCGAACGAACTCTGCGAGCGCTCGACCTCGTGACGCAGCCTCTCGTTGTCGAGCTCGAGGCGCGTCAGCCGCTGCTTCGCGGCTTCCCAGTCGGCTCCGCTACGTCCGACCTCCGAGGCCGCTTTGTCCAGCTCGGCTTTGCTCTTGCCCAGCTCCGACTGCGAGGACTCGAGCTTCGTCTCCAGACGATCCTTTTCAGCCTGAGCCCTCTCCACCCTGGCGCTCAGCTTCTCCACCTTCGGCGGTCCATCGAATTTTACCATTTTTCACTCGGCCTCCCACTCATTCTTTCTCCGTTCTTTTATACCGAATCTCACTTATTTGCCATCAATGACCGACTCGAACATCAACAATAACTATTACGTCGATCCTTTATCTCATCCTCTTTGCGATCAATGCATTATCATCAGTAGTTTCGCGGCTATTGCCCGATCGTTTGAAATTGTTGTATTGAGGGATTGCGCGCGCGCGCGCGCGCTCGAGCATAAGTATCAAATTATTTGCGCAGCGTTTTGAAAATCGCAGATGCACAGTTAGAATGGAATTGATAAATCACAGTGTTTGACTGAAGTGCAGTTCGTACGGCTGGATCGTTGGATCGGAAGCGAAAATTAGCAATTAGCGTAACGTACCTCCGACTCGAGGGTGTGCATCTTCATCTTGTACTCGGCGATCTCGCGCTCGTGCAAATCGCGTTCCTCCTGCTTGTCTTGCTCGGCCCGGTCGCGTTGCTCCCGCAGTTGCGCCATTTGCTTCTCCTTGTCGCCGATGGCCTCCTCGAGGCTGCTCAGGGCGCCCTCGCTGCTGCAGTGGTGGGCCTGCATCGCCGTTAATCTGGCTCGCGCCATGTCAACCTGGTTGTCCTTCTCTTTCAGCAGGTCTTCCAGGTTCTCGATCTGTTGATTCGTTCAGCGGACAATGGGATATTTCGTTTGGCAGTTATTTATTAAGGGCATCGTGCCAAGCACCGCGAAAGCCGCCGCATCGACAAGTGCCACGATTTATCAATAGCTTGTCATTGTCATTTTATTTGTTGTTTTATATTAAGCACACCCATGTCGTCACGAGTCATACGTTTTCCTTTTCTTTTTTTTTTTTTTTTTTTTTTTTTTTTTTTTTAAAGCCAGCATAGTCGATCGATTTATTTCGGTTAATGCGCCTAACGATTATAAGTAAATAACTTCAATAAGAGAAGAAATTAGTTTAATAATTTATAATAATCTGAGGTAGAATATCATAATCGTTTCTAGGATGATAAAATTTCTAAATATAAAATAAAATAATACGAATTAGTAATACGTATTATTACTATCATTATTATTATCATTATTATTGTTATTATTATTATTATTATTATTATTATTATTGTCGTTCTTGTTATTCTTGTTAACTCTAACTAATAAATATTAATCTTTTTATTTATTTAATATTAGTGATATCGACTTATACGCTATTTTCGTGTAAATTTTATATTTGTAGCGAACAATATTTATTTAATGTGAAATTCATAGCGCAATTGTTCAATTACAATAAAGAATCGTATCATCATAAGAATTATATATGTTTTTAGGCTCGTTAAAATAAACTGCCAAAACAAATCTAATACTTTATGGAGTTCCTTTTGCTTTCATTTAACTAAAAACTATATAAAAATCTCTTAACTTTACATACAAATAGTTCCATGAAAATTTATTGATAAAAACACAGCCAGTTATAACAACGTATTTTATTAGTGGCTGTAAATTTAAATCTTTTATGATACTTTTGAGATAAAGATTTACAAGAACATTTGCTTATTGGTTGTTTTGAATTTTATGATACGACTTTAAACTAAATTGAGATTAAATTTTACAATGTGTCGTAAACATTCATTATTAAACTGGAGACTTTAACATTGCTTTCTTAAAAAAAATATTGCATTATTGCACTATTGTAGCAGTTTATTGCAAAATGTAATAAATGAATTGCATTATTTGTGGATAATAATAGCAAATGATATTGCAGGACAATTAAATCTACGGCTATTCATTGGTAATAATAATTTTTGCTATAATTAAGTAATGTTTGCTCAAATTAATAAATTCTCAGTAGATATATATATATATATATATATATAATCAATTATAATGCATTCACTATTATGTGTGTTGGTTTAGATTTGTGTTGATAACGATGTTCAGCTACGAATACACCGGGAGCGCATCTCCAATCACAGAAGAGAATTATGTCAAGTTATCGAGGAGGGAATGATTACTAAAGATGTCGTCTGCTTTCACATTTACGTAGAATTAGTTTTGAAATGCACTTCTCCCTTGATTAATGCTCCTTTTTTCAATTTCCTTCTTTGTTTGCTTTAGCAACACGTAGCTGAGTAACTAGGGCCGACATTAACTTTAAAACGTCAATATCAGCAAATCTGCCAGTGTCTTTATATTATGTAATGGTAATGTTTGAGAGTATGCAAAAGTATGTCACATTAGCAATAGAACATTGGAGAATAAAAGAGTCTGGCAAAGCAGGAACATTATTTGAAAGTCCATTTGTCTTTGAATAATATGATTTTTAATTAGGCATATTCCAGTACTTATAAACCTTAATTACATAAGTTTCATCAACGCACGACACAATCATCTGCACCAAAGCAGTGAAATTAAATTTTACAACATTTATTCGTTTTCTCGATACTATCACCCTTTCCTTATTATGTACATCAACATTACTTTTACTGACTTGTGATACTCTAATAAATTCAATCAAAATATGTTACTCGCTCGTTCGTTTTTTTTTTTATTTATTTTAATTAATTTTTCACATCACTATAATATAATTAATTAATTTTCAAAGAGCAGTGTAAATTATACAATTGTATTTAATTATAATAATTATCCCGGTATACTATTTACCCGGTAACTACGGGTTAAAAAATATAGATTAAAAGGACAGATTTAAATAGCAAGAGTAAGATTATGTTAATTCGGGAGCCAAACAGCATCTACATTATGTTACTCTCATTGTATATGCCTTGAATCAACTGTTTTATAATGTAAAAATGGAGCATTGAAATCATTGAAAGCACTTTTCCAGTAACAGCTATGGGTATTAACCTATTTTTGTAAGTATATGCATTGGTATGTGGATCTATTCATTACTTGAAAACAATAAGAGAAGGAATAATTAAATTTTTCTACAGTTTTCTGAATTTCATGAGTAGTTAAACGTACAATGTTTACAGCATCTTCGTTTATAAAAATTAAACAGATAACGAGCTGTTTTTCTAATGTAAAGTAAGGTTTATTAATAAGAGAATTCGTAGTAGTAGTCTTTGGTAGGAAAGAATTTTATTGATACTCTTTCAAAACTACTAAGTAGTCACGATGGGATTAAATAATATACATTATTTAATTAATATTATCGACTATCCTGAAATTATTTAATAATTATTCCTTAGAACGTTGAAATTTTAATTAAATGCATTATTATTTCAGTCTTTTGCATTTAAATTTAAATTATACTCGCCGGTGTCTGTCATAAATTTATGTAAAAGTAAATCTACCAGTTATCTCAAATTTTGTACAATAATAAATATTACATATGCGGGGATTTGAATTTCACAACTAATTTTCAACATCATTTTTGTCATATTAGTTTATATATGTATGGTTAGGACAGTATTTTCTAAAAAAAAAATGTCAATATTGCATAGATCGATAAATCTTTGTACAATGTTATGCTTAATATAATACAATCTCATCTTATATAATACAATTGACTGCTTTGCTCATGAATGTTTCATGAGTGTTAAATAAATTTATACGAATATATGAATAGTATAAATCTACCTCTACGTTACATTAGCAAATATAGTTTAAAATTAAAAGATATATTATTGTATTTCTTCGTTTTAAGATGTCTTTTTATTAACGTTTTATACGTACAAGAAAAGCATGACAAAAAATTCCACTGAATATCATTATTTATTAAATATATTATATGTGACATTATTTAATTTATATTTTTTTTTTTTTTTTTTTTTTTTTACCTTGAACATGAATTCACATTTTATGATTTATTACCAAAATTATAATGCATAAGTAATTAGAATGTTGCGGTAGGTAATCATTAATTAGAAAACTAATTAAAGCCACTACGTCATTTGAAATTCGAATGTACATTAATGTACATGTAATAAGGAAATAAATTTTTATAAAATTCCAATTGAATTATTTTATTCAATATTCTATCCAATATTAATTGAATATTATTCTGTTTTATTGAATTAAATTATACTTCTCTATGTAGGATAATAATTCGTGTAAAGCATTAGTTTTTAGTTAGCGATGTAATATCTTACTGGCATATGTTTTTTTTTTTGTTTTTTGTTTTTGTTTTTTCGTTTTTGTTTCTTTATTGAAACTGATAAAATTTGTAAAGAAATTATTTTGAATAGTAAACTTAATTTATTTACGTAAATGCGCCCTTCAATAAAGATAATGTTAAACTGATATTAAATTATTAAATTTAATAAAAAATATAACAGTACTCCACTCACTTTTCGCTGAAGGACGTTGATTTTACGATCTTTTATGTCCATATGATCTTTGATCTCCGTAAGCTCTGTATTAAAACGATTGCGCTCTTGTTGTGCTTGCAAAGCAGCTTGAGTTTTTTTCTCAATGAGTCTATTTTTTTCTTCCATCCTTTGTCGCATTTCCTCGACCTACATGGTATATCAAGCAACTCATTTAAGAATTTACTAGCTACTTAAGTAAATTATAAAAATTCATTGCACAGGATATGTATTTCATAATGTTGGCAAATATAATAGACTCATATATTATAGTAGAGTCCATCAACCTGCAAACGTATAAATTCTAGTTCGATAAATCATAAATAGATCGAAAGATCTTCAATAGTAGAGTACCATTGAAAGTTTTAAGAAAATTATTTATTTTATGTAATAAATACATATACCGAAAAAATGTTTTACTATTTCAATGATTTTTAATGTAAAATTACGACGTAGTGATGATAGTTAGCCCTGATATCATTTACCTTCAATAATTATTGATAATATGCTAGTTACAATGATTTTGTAAAGACTCATAAAAGTATTTATGTCTTATATTAAACAAAGTGCTTTTGAAATAGTAAAAGAAATCAATTGATTTTAACATAGCCTTAGTGAGTTAATGTTAATCGAACTAATATTTCATTAAAATAATAATGTTTTATTATTCGTTGTTACTGATAAATAGGCAGGCATGTGATTGTATAATTAATTACCAACTGCGGTCTAAGCAGAGTTGGAAAAATATCGAAAAGTACTCACATCGGCTTGAAGCATATTGTAGTGTTCCTCCTTAGCGCAGAGCGACTCTTTGAGAACGGCAATGTGTCGCTGGTAATCGTGGTGCTGCTCTTCGAGCGTTTTCATTTTAGCGGACATGCCGAGTAGCTCCTGATCGCGTCGTTGTACCTCCGTCCTGAGCTCGTCGAGCTGTGAAAAGAGTCGTGGTCCCGGATATGTCAGTCTCTCGTCCGCTACAAGCTGGTCGATCGAGCACGCAGAGGAGTACGCGACAAGACCATCCTCGTCGCCTTGCCCGAGTATGGGGAGGTCACAGGGTGCGAAGATCACAGACAATTCATCCTCATCCTCGTCGATGGCGTCTCCGAACACCTCCTTATTTAGACTCGAGCTTGAAACTGCGCGCTCTAACCCTCGCTCGTATGATTTATCTCACTAGTATCGCGATTTCCTTTATTCTACTCGTTTTATTTCATTTACTTTTTCTTTTCTTTTCTTTTCTTTTCTTTTTTCTCTCTGAGATGATTTGTATTTTTCATTTTCTATTGTAGTGCGCGTGTTTTTGATGGCTTGATGCAACGTCGATAGAGAAAAAAGAAAAACGACGAGAATGAAGTGAAATGACTCGTCGCCGTACTCGGGCAGGGCTCACGTAGCATGCAGCGGCAGACCATTAAAACGAGTATAAATGAGATAGGTATAACAGTATAATAATGATTTAAATTTGTATTAATATGTGATTTGAGATAATAGTGGACGTGGGGTATGAGTGATTGATTAGGACAAGACTATGAGACTTCGATTAATGAAAGTAATTTAACGTAAAACTATCTTAGAACTTGGTTTGAGCTTGCTTTTACCATCTTCAAGTACATTTGGTGTTATTGTTAATATTTTTCTAAGCTACGTGTCCTTTTAACCGATACCTTAATTGAAAATTGTTTTTTAATTTTTACATCTGCATATTCATTCTGATGTTTTGAAAATGTTCGAACGGTGTTATTATTTAGAATTGTAATTAACCCAAGGAATGCGATTATCGTGGTAATATTAATGTACTCGCATCGCCAAGAACTAAATTACGAAAGGAGATTATTAATTTATAAATTAATCTTGTAATGAGATAATTATTTTCTTTCATTATATATTGGCATTTAAAGTAATACAAAAATATAAAAAATTTACCGTCATGAAACAATGTTGGTTGCCGTTAAGCTTACAAAGCTAAATTTTTATATATAAGATGTTCTTTTTCTACCGGCGACCTGTTAATCAACATGTAACTTTGTATTATGCAAACTGAAGGAAATAAACAAATTGTATAATTGTCATCTTTTTCTAGAATGTTTGGCAATATATCTATCGACATTTTCAAATTATTCATAAATATTGGATATTAGAATTATTCATTTTAACTATTTATTACGCCGAACTTCCCGTTCGAATTTCAAATAGACAGTTTACAAGACAAGTTTTTCGTAAAATTACCATAATATAGTCAGATTGATTGATAAATAAATGATCTAGTGAATATCTATTCCATATATTGAAATGTATCTAGATGGAAAAATAATTAAAATATTGCTAATATTTGGTTAAAAATTGATCTACGTGATTCATATGAATATCTTTGTTAATCCATCACATTCCAAATTATTTACGTACATAATTAAAGAAAATTTCCTTATTCAATTTAATTCACAAATTGCGATGATTAATTGAAATAATTGTAATTTTGTTTTGAATGCAGATTACTGAATAAGGTTTGATTATCACATCTGCAAATTATAATGAACTAACATGTATTTTCATGTGAATTTTCTATACAGATTGTCAGTTTAATGACTTTACTCGATGTGTAATTAAATTACGGATAAAAATAAAAACTAAAGTAAGCGAGAGACAGAAGAGTGGAATAAAATCTTGGAGAGGATGAGAGTGCCCAAATATATGTATCAGAACTAAAGATGTATAAATGTAGTGACGGAGAGAGAGCGAGAGAGAGAGAGAGAGAGAGAGAGAGAGA